CGAAAGCAGGGGACCAGCAGACCAGCAAAAAGCAGGAGAAATCAGCAGACCAGGAGACCAGGAGACCAGGAGACCAGGAGACCAGGCGACCGACCCCGGACACCAGAAGACCAGGGGACCGGAGACTGGGTCTCGCTAATTTGTTTTTGATCCCCTAAATAATTTTTTTTTGATCCCCAAAATAATTATTTTTTGATGCTCATCCCTTCTCCCTGAAGGTTTGTGGCTCTGCAGGCTACGGGTTTCTCCGGCATACTTTCAAGGCATAAAGATTCTCTCTCATAGAGACCCTACTGTGGATGGACGAAATCCGTTTCGCACCACTTTGAGACCATGGTTGAGATTGCTTGTTGGTATTTACAGGGGAATCATGATTCCCGGGTTTCTTGGGTGGCGCAGGTTTTCGTCCATCCACAGTACCACTTGGCTTTTGAAGAGGACTTTGGGAACCTTGGGACATCTTCTCAAGCGTCTTTCATGGACAATCCCAGTGCTTTTGGAAAACCACTATAGCGCTGAGCTGCCCTCAGATCCGCCGCCAAAAGTTTAACTTTTAGTGGGTTAAATGGAAACTACCACTAAACACTAAAAGGCTAAAAAGCTAAGGGGATGGTTGGGAGTTACGAAGAGTAGGTAACCCTTCGGTATAGCTATCGCTAGGTTCTACATCATGGTTTCCCCTGCCTGGTTACCTACAATATCAAGTGGCTTGCCTGGAAGCACTCGGAATGGTTTCCCAAAAAAGCTACGGCAAATCTTGGCATCACCAATTCCCCTTCATGGCGCTCATAAAAAGGTGGCAATGTGAGGGGGACCCATTCGCTTTTGGTTGACCCCCCGGTTTTTCGTGGGCCCATGAAGAGATGAAATGGAGGTCAAACGACAGGTTTCGGGAGCAAAAAACGGTCGCCAGAGCTTTTCCCGCTCGAATGGGGGGAGGAAACTTGAAGAACCAGAACTCTTGGCTTTCTAGTGCTCAGTAGGGAATGAGGGAATGAACCTAGGGATTCCCTCAAAGGAAATCACAAGGGATGATTTATAGCGGTCATTCCCTCATTCCCTGCTGAGCGCCAGCAAGTTGGGTGGCAAACCCGGCGACCGCAATTGTCATGACTGGATTTCGTATCTGTTTCCCCTTCACTGAACTGTTGGATGGAAAAAAAAAGCCTCCGAAACACCAGCAGGTGGGGTTTTCACTGCAAAAACAGTTGTAGGGTTTCGTCCATCCTCATTGCTGGGTTTTTGTACAACAGTTTTGACATTTGGGTGTGGCTCAAAATTAAGCAGGAGGGGCAAACCGCAGGTTTTGGTCCATGTTTCCACTTACCAGGGCAAGCCATTTTGGAGTTCCGGTTTTTTGAGCCACAGCCATTTTGGTTGGCACCCTCCCCGCCCCGAGGATCCGACTCTGGCAGATCCGACCCCGAAGAGTTCAGTCCAACGAAAAGTTGCGTTTCAGTCGACCCGCTCGGCTGATCGAAACGAATTTTCGGTCCTCCGAAACCCAGGGAAACGCAAGCAATTTCCTGGGAGTTTGGAGTGGATTCAACCAAAAATTTGCCCGAAGTGGAAATGCTGCGGTGCTATTCTTGTTGGTTTCCCTTTCAGGCAGCCCCAAAACCAACTGAAAACAGACTGACCCATTTGTCGGAGTCTCCGATCCGCGAATTGTGGCGAACCCAAATGGAATCTTTTAGAAGTGTCTCCCCAGGAACCCTTGGCCCCGATGCTTTGACCACCCACTTCCGATCTTGGGATTGCCCAAAAGTAACCAAGCTTGTTGGTTGCCACTAAAATGGCCTTCCCAAAAGCTTACAGGGACTAAGGATTGTCTTTGCACCCTCCAAAATGGTGGGTTGTCCTTTTGGTTTCCCTTTAAAACCACAAAAACATATTTTTCTAAAAAAAAAAAAAAATGAACCAGATCAAAATCGATTTTTCCCACCTCTCCTTGTCAGGGATTTTCTTTGAGCCGCCCATTTTCAAGCCACTGGGTTCTCTTCAGCCGGGCGTCCCCAAGAGCGGTCCCCCAACAAAACGACGCCTGGAGCCCGTGAACTCGAGCGAGACGCTTCTCGACGCACTCGCCTCTTTCTGGGTTGACGCTGGGTTCGGGGAGCAAACATTCTCATTTTTTTTGGCAGTTGAGTGGTTGGGTTCAAGCACTAAACCACAAGAAGCAAACATGGAAAAATGTTTTAGCAGTTGAGTGGTTGGATTAGCCACTAAACCACAAGAAGCAAACATGGAAAATTGTTTTAGCAGTTGAGTGGTTGGATTAGCCACTAAACCACAAGAAGCAAACATGGAAAATTGTTTTAGCAGTTGAGTGGTTGGCAAACCATGGAAAATTGTTTTAGCAGTTGAGTGGTTGGATTAGCCACTAAACCACAAGAAGCAAACATGGAAAAATGTTTTAGCAGCAGTGGTGGTTGGATTAGCCACTAAACCACAAGAAGCAAACATGGAAAATTGTTTTAGCAAACCACAAGAAGCAAACATGGAAAATTGTTTTAGCAGTTGAGTGGTTGGATTAGCCATTAAACCACAAGAAGCAAACATGGAAAATTGTTTTAGCAGTTGAGTGGTTGGATTAGCCACTAAACCACAAGAAGCAAACATGGAAAATTGTTTTAGCAGTTGAGTGGTTGGATTAGCCACTAAACCACAAGACAAACATGGAAAATTGTTTTAGCAGTTGGTGGTTGGATTAGCCACTAAACCACAAGAAGCAAACATGGAAAATTGTTTTAGCAGTTGAGTGGTTGGATTAGCCACTAAACCACAAGAAGCAAACATGGAAAATTGTTTTAGCAGTTGAGTGGTTGGATTAGCCACTAAACCACAAGAAGCAAACATGGAAAATTGTTTTAGCAGTTGGTGGTTGGATTAGCCACTAAGCAAACATGAAAATTGTTTTAGCACCACTAAACCACAAGAAGCAAACATGGAAAATTGTTTTAGCAGTTGAGTGGTTGATTAGCCACTAAACCACAAGAAGCAAACATGGAAAATTGTTTTAGCAGTTGAGTGGTTGGATTAGCCACTAAACCACAAGAAGCAAACATGGAAAATTGTTTTAGCAGTTGAGTGGTTGGATTAGCCACTAAACCACAAGAAGCAAACATGGAAAAATTGTTTTAGCAGTTGAGTGGTGGTTGGATTAGCCACTAAACCACAAGAAGCAAACATGGAAAATTGTTTTAGCAGTTGAGTGGTTGGATTAGCCACTAAACCACAAGAAGCAAACATGGAAAATTGTTTTAGCAGTTGAGTGGTTGGATTAGCCACTAAACCACAAGAAGCAAACATGGAAAATTGTTTTAGCAGTTGAGTGGTTGGATTAGCCACTAAACCACAAGAAGCAAACATGGAAAATTGTTTTAGCAGTTGAGTGGTTGGATTAGCCACTAAACCACAAGAAGCAAACATGGAAAATTGTTTTAGCAGTTGAGTGGTTTAGCCACTAAACCACAAGAAGCAAACATGGAAAATTGTTTTAGCAGTTGAGTGGTTGGATTAGCCACTAAACCACAAGAAGCAAACATGGAAAATTGTTTTAGCAGTTGAGTGGTTGGATTAGCCACTAAACCACAAGAAGCAAACATGGAAAATTGTTTTAGCAGTTGAGTGGTTGGATTAGCCACTAAACCACAAGAAGCAAACATGGAAAATTGTTTTAGCAGTTGGTGGTTGGATTAGCCACTAAAACCACAAGAAGCAAACATGGAAAATTGTTTTAGCAGTTGAGTGGTTGGATTAGCCACTAAACCACAAGAAGCAAACATGGAAAATTGTGTTAGCAGTTGAGTGGTTGGATTAGCCACTAAACCACAAGAAGCAAACATGGAAAATTGTTTTAGCAGTTGAGTGGTTGGATTAGCCATTTGTTTTAGCAGTTGAGTGGTTGGATTAGCCACTAAACCACAAACAAACATGGAAAATTGTTTTAGCAGTTGAGTGGTTGGATTAGCCACTAAACCACAAGAAGCAAACATGGAAAATTGTTTTAGCAGTTGAGTGGTTGGATTAGCCACTAAACCACAAGAAGCAAACATGGAAAATTGTTTTTGAGCAGTTGAGTGGTTGGATTAGCCACTAAACCACAAGAAGCAAACATGGAAAATTGTTTTAGCAGTTGAGTGGTTGGAGTTAGCCACTAAACCAAACCACAAGAAGCAAACATGAAAATTGTTTTAGCAGTTGAGTGGTTGGATTAGCCACTAAACCACAAGAAGCAAACATGGAAAATTGTTTTAGCAGTTGAGTGGTTGGATTAGCCACTAAACCACAAGAAGCAAACATGGAAAATTGTGTTAGCAGTTGAGTGGTTGGGTCTCAACCACTAAACCACAAGCAAGAATGAGTCAAATGTTTCGGGGTTTTCCACTAAACCGCAATAGGCAAAAATGGGTAAAAATGCAAATCCCAACAACCACCATGAATATTGTGGCTTGCAACTTGAGCCAAAAGCTCGGACCTTGTTGAAACGAGCGGGGCAACTCGGCTTTGGGGTCAAAGACACGAGAGCCAGGCGTTGAAGGACTAACCGCTTCGCGGGGCAATATTTGGGGGAAGCGGCGATTTTGCGGAAAATCCCTCTGTAAAGGAAACCGTGTCTAAAAGACTACTTGGATGGTGTGGGAGTTAGCTAAGAGTGGTTAGTAACCCTGGTTGTAACCCACTTACTATAGTTGTAAGTCCCCTAAAGCCAGGGTTACCAACCATTTAGCGTGCCAAATTCCACCCAAGCACTAGAAACATATGCCCTGCTTCCCCTGCTTCCCCTGCTTCCCCTGCTTCCCCTGCTTCCCCTGCTTCCCCTGCTTCCCCTGCTTCCCCTGCACTGCTTGTGTGAGGGCTATGGTTGGTGTCAAGTTGCCGCCCTGGTCGTTTTTCCTCCCAATCCAAGCGACGGCTTCAGCTTCCAAGGCGCTCCACCCAGCCGATCCAGGTCTCAAGCAGCACGAAGTGCGCCGGAAGCAAAAGCTTCCAGAACTCTATGCACATGTCCACCGGCAGGCATCCTCAGTCCGGACACCCGAGTGGCTCGATTCTGTTCTTTGGTTGAGGCTCGGAAATGACCATGCTCTTTGAGGGAATGCTCACATGGAAGCAACAGTGCACACCGCCCCTCTTCTCCTTTCGTTTTTTTGGGGGGGTCCCCAAAAAAGACGAGCCACCCATGAAAGTCCAGTCGAAAAATCCAGATGGAATCGCTTGCTTCCCCTGTTCCTGCAGGGCGGGTTGTGGGGGGATGGTGGTGTTTGGGGATGGATGTCCCAACTTACGTGCGTATCCCAACTTTTTATCCCCAAAAGTGTGGCTTATCTCAGTTCTAGGTTTCATAGAGTCAAGGCTTTGGGGAAGCAAGCAATTCCATATCGATTTGGCTCGTCTTTTTTGGGGACCCCCCCAAAAAAATAAAGGAGAAGAAGGGCGGTGTGCACTGTTGCTTCCATGTGAACATTACCTCGCCATGTCAGATGCCCCAACAGTATTGGCTTTCTGCACAGCCCCTTGCAAAGATGAAAAGCACTCTCGTTTTGTTTAAAAGCCTGGACACACCCGCCGGACCCGTTCTTCCTTCCTTTCTTCTGCCTTTGACCCACCAAAAAATGGGGGATACAAAGGCAGACAAAAACCGTCCATTGAGGGCCCAGGCGTTTCTGTGCACCTCGCATGATTGTTGGTGGCAGGTACGCATGTATCAAAACGAGCTGGACCCCCGCTTCTGGCTCATTCTCTAAGCCAAAACCCCATGAACATCGAAGATCAACTTGCTCCAGTGAAAAAGTCTGGGTGAATTATAATGTTTCACCAACCTGAAATAAGGTGGTTGGGGGGCTATTCCCCACATAAACCAACATTTGGGGTGAATTCGGTCGTGTGAGGTCGTTATAATTCACCCAGAAAAGTCAAACATGTAGTTTTCGGTTTGGCCCAGCTGGAAAACAAGATCGACAAAACAAATTCTCTGGTGTCACTTGGTTGGTTTTGACACATGCCAACGAAAATCGGGTGATGTCACTGGCGTTTCTTCGCCCACTTGCAGCTTGCGGCACTGAATATGGATGATGCTTAAAGGGACGATTGGGTACTTAGCAGGTGGTTAGTAAGCCTGGCTACATCCCACTGAACGGAGACTTATAACCATGGCTTTGGTGTGATAGAACCATGCCTATTACCCACTTACCTGACGTACTCGATCGCCCCTCGAAGTGGTCGCCCCTTTTCGCGGCGAGACTCCTTTTTGCCCCCCCCTTCAGACAAGCAATGAAAGCAAGATGCCTAGTTTTGCCAATCCCGGCGTGCAAAACACCCCAGTGCGGAACCGGGTGTTGCCTCCGCTTCTCCCTGATGGAAATCTGGCAAAAAGGCCCAACATGGCCCAACATGGCCCAAACTGGAAGTAAGACAGGGATCCTTACATTCTACACCTGAACATTGCAACTTGTAAATGGTGGTTTCCCTTTATTTTGGTGTTTAAAAAGCCATGTTTCAAATGGCAGTGGCTCAAAATTAAAGAGCTAGGCTTACGCAGGTTTTGGTCCATGTTTCCAGTTACCAGGGCAACCCATTTTGGAATTCCGGTTTTTTGAGCCATACCCAAATGGTTGCAAAATGGAGATCTTTTAAGGAGCCCTGTAAGAGTACCCGTGTTCGAAGGATCTTCATGGTGCGCGCTGTGAAACCCTCCCGTTTTCGATTCGTTTTCAGATCCGCTAAGAGTGAGCTTAACTTGCGGGTTGAATGCGGAAACCCAACCACTCGTTCCAACGAAAACCCCAAGTTGAACCGGAGGCGCTGGGAACTGCGCAGCTTTAAGATGCCCAGGAAAAAGCAAGAAAGAAAAAAGAAGAAGAAGAAGAAGAAGAAAAAATACGGGCCCCGGTTTTAAAGATGCAGAGGAAAAATAAGAAAAAGAAAGGAAAAAACAAACGGCCCCCGTGTCTTTATTTGTTTTTTTTGCGGCGACCGATCCACCCTCTGGGGCGCAGGCGTTGGCCTGGCGCGATACAACCACCAGACTACCACTTGCTTTTTCGCCTGGACAAACCAAAAAAAAGCTAGTGGTGATAGATTCTCTTGAACACCAACAGGGGAAAAGAAAAATATCCTTAAGCAAAAAACACTAGCCATAGATTCTCTTTAACATCAACAGGTTCTCTTCAAAATGGTGGACGATTTGGCCTGCAGCTCTGATCTTCTCCCCATCAAATCCTTCCATTTGCTTACGGCCCCGTGAAAAAAATATAAAGATGTCCAGTGGTGATAGATTATCTTTAACACCAACAGGGGAAAATAACAAATATCCTTAAGCAAATGGAAGCAAATGGCGTGGGACGAATCGCTAAGTGGTATATAACCCTAGTTGTAACCCATTTACCATGGCTGTAAGTCTTCGGGAAAACCCGAATTATTAACAACTTAGCTAAGGGGTGCGAATTTATTTTGGGATTTGTTCTCGTTGTTTTTTCCGATTGTTTTTTTGCCGGGCCAGTAAAATGTCGTATTTTTCCACTGGCCCGTCACCCCCAGCATCGTTTTCAACATCCCCCGCATGTCCGACCAACATCCCCAGCATCACCAACAAATCGTGGGTAACAAAATCGAAAAAGTCGATGGCGGATTGACGGGTCGAAAAAATGATGATTCAAAGAGGAGGGCATTTTCAATCGCTATCTAAAAAGTAGCGGGGGGGTTGGGGGGCGGCAGCCAAAAAAAAATGATGTTCGCAGAAGTGATGATTCGAATAGGGGTGCAATTAAATCTCTGCAAAAGGTCTAAAAAGTGGCGGGGTGGGGGGGGGCGTCAGCCAACCCCCCATGATGATCGAAGAAGTGATGATTCAAATAGGGGCGCAATGAAATCTCTGTAGAAAATCTACCAAGTAGCGGGGGGGTTGTGGGGGGCTGCCGCCCCCCCCATGATGTTCGAAGAAGTGACGATTCAAATAGGAGTGCAATGATTCAAGAAAGGGTGCGATAGAATATAAAAAGCAGCGGGAGGTTGGCGGGGGTGGCTTCCCCTATGATGTTCGAAGGAGTGAAAGGGTGCAAAAGCCAAAACGCCCAGACAGGAACTGGGAAAGCAGAGGATTCCTCAGAGGATGCGAAAAGCCAAAGCCACAAAAATGCCGCATAAACCAGCGAAAAGCCGCAGAGAGCCAAAACGCCACCAAAAGCCGCATAAACCAACAAGAAGCCGACAAGCCAAGAAGCCGACAAGCCAAGAAGCCCAGAAGCCAAAAAGCCCAGAAGCCAAAAAGCCCAGAAGCCAAGAAGCCGAAAAGCCAAAAGCGAACCAAATCATATATATATATATATATATTTATATATATATATATATATTTATATATATATATATATTACAAAAAATAGACCCTCCCCCCCAAAAAAAGCACTAAAATACATACCGCTCCTTAGCTAAATCCCAGAGCATCGAAGAAGTATGCGCCTGTCTGCTTTTGAGTGTACCAGTTGTTTGGTGGTTTTAAAGGAAAACCAACAGGAAAACCGTTGCGCCATTTTGGGGGCCCGATTCCCTAAAAAAGACACAGCCATTAATGGGGGTGATGGAAACCCTTTTGGATTGACCACCTCACGCGGAACCTGAGGAAGAGCTTGCATTTTCCGAGGGTCAAACCGCCCCAAGTCGCTGAGGGTACCAGTCAACAAACCCTTGACAAACAATCAGGCAGCTGACTGATATGAAATAGATTTACTCATAATCGCTTAGTGGAAACACACAGCTTAGAATGGAATCTAAACCCTTCGTACGCAACTATCTGGGTGTCTTGTTCGAAGGGAACCCCCTGTGTGGTTGGTTTGAAAGGACAGCCAGTGCTTCCAGTTACCACTATTGTAGGTAACCAGGGGGAACCATGACGTAAAGCCTAGAAAGACGAACCCAACTCACCTAACCCCAACAGCACCCTCCCTGCAAGCCGCTCCCTTCACCACTTATGTCTCTCTGAGCGACCCCTTATCGCATTCTGAGAAAAATAAGAACTGCAGTAGTCATAGATTCCCTCAACCAGGGGAAAATGACACATAGGTGCGTCTGTGTTTTCCTTTTGGTCTCCCCTTCTTCACCACTCAACAGGTTCCCTCAAACAAGTGGCCCACCCACATGAAGGGTGGGGAACCGCCCCAAACACGCCGAGCCACCCGCATGCAAAGGGCTGAAGAAGATTGAAGCTTCCACCCCAGCCACGCTCCACTAAGAGGATCGAAGCTCCAGTGACTTGAGACATGGGCCTTCTTAGCCAAAACCTTGGCGACATAGGTGTCCTTTTAGGTGGGTTTCCCCGGTTAAACCACCAGGTCAACCAGGAATCGCCATCTATGGTTCTACCAAAACAACCAAACATGACCCCTTATGCTTGGCAAATCAATCCTCCCTCCGCCTTTTGTGGCGGAGATCTGGTCCAGTAATTTGGGCCCAATTTGGCCGCCAGGGAAGGGCAAGGGAATCATCATTCCAGGGGTTCTGAGGTGGTGCAGGATTTCGTCCCTCCACAATGGGATAGTGCAATTAAGAATCGGATCCCCAAGCAAAGGATAAAAAGTCATGGCGCTTTCGCTCGGTTATACCCCCGAATCGGTGAGCTCGCTACCAAAATAGGTAGAAATATGTTCGGTTGCATTTCTCGCATCAGTTGGGTCCCTGTTCTCTCCCGGCGATGGAAGCAAACGGAACTAAATCTTCCTTGGCGTCCTGGGAGCTTCCAACAAGGGTAGCTCAATGTCCCAAGGAACAGGTGGTACCTCATGTTTTTTGCGGATTTGAGGAATCCATATGTCACAAATCCACTTGAACTCACCTCATGTTGTTTTGTTTCGCGGATTTGAGGAATCTGTAAATTCACAAATCCACTTGAGACTTGAACTCAACCCAAAAGCAGAGAAATGTCGGGCACCTGTATGGGGCCCTCTGGGAGTGTCTGGTAGACCCCGTGGCAGCGTGGTGAGCCTCAAACTCGGCTTCCCAAATCCGGCAGATGGAACCGAATCCAGTCGCCCTTTGACCATCCTCCCCCTTTTTGCTTGAGATCTTCAGGTTGGACCCCCAAAAAAGATTCTTCGAAACCCTCAACAAATAACAATCATAATCCAACTTCGACTCTTTCACTCTCCCCCCAAAAAAACAGGCTAGGTCCAACTTGATTCCTTTCAAGAGACCTCCACCAAAGTCCCACTTTCATCGCTTGCCAGGCACTTACTCGACACGCACGACACGCATCGCCTTGGTCTAAGGCGAACTGGAAGGTGAAGGCATAGACCTGCCAAATGGATCCGCGACCCTCAAACTAGCCAAAATGGGTCACTTGGGTGTTCAATCCACTTAGTACGTAGGTGATTTCCGTGATTCTACCTAGGGTAACTGGGGTGTTCCCTGATAGCCATGGGTATAATTAACCTACTTCCCAAGCGGATTGATCACCCAAAGCATTGCAACCCAAAATGATGGGGTGAGTTCCCAGTTTTATGGGGGATTTGGATGGTCCAGGCAGCTCCCCCCCAATGGTACTGGCTTCCATGTTGGAAACTTCCGAAGGGTTTCCCGCCATAGGTTGCTACCTCCATGTGTAGTTTTGTCCGGCTTCCTTTCACAACTCAAAACGCGCACCAAAACGAAAAGAAAAAAAGACACATGGGTTCCATTGACCATTATCATAATGCCCCAAAGGCGACCCAGAAATGCAAGCAAAAATGGGTGCCAAACACGGGGAAGCTAAAAGGTCAAAAGGTCGGTTCAACTTGAATTTGGGCAAGTGAGATACGTAACCAGGATCTGCGTTTTCAAGGACATGGCATCCATGGTCATTGAAAGCTGGAGGCAAGGATCCTCGTTGCCGATAGGCTTCAAGGCTTCAAAAGCTGTTCATCCCCCCCCCCCCCCGGCTCGGGTAATCCTTTGGTAGTGTGGATTGGTGGAGGGAACCACTCTGTTTGTTCTGCGTGGCACAGTCGTTCCAGGGAAGCTCCCTGGTGGCAACCAAGGGAAAGTGAAATCCTCCATGGTTAAACCTCCAGGTAAAGATTCTGGTTACCTTTACCCCCTACTCCAAATACCCACTTTTTTTAGGGTATGATGTCGACCCTCTACTAAAAAAGGTGGTATTTACCTTGAAAAGCCAGGTTTTCCCAAAAATACCCTGAAAAAAAGCGGGTATTTGGAGTAGGGGGTAGCAACCAGAAACAGTCAACATAATGAACCCAGCAACATTGACGGTGATAACTCCCTCAGAAACCAGGCGCCAACTTTTTTCCGGTCGTCGATTTTAGTAGGGGAACTCCCCTCCCAACCCAAAAAGGTGGGTGCAAAGTTGGCACCAATTGCTGGGGGACCTAGCAATGGCGGAACTGCCACCGGGAGCTTAGTGGAACTCTGTCTTTGATCCGCTTTCGGCTGACTCGCCAGTTCCTACAGCGACCTGCATCTTTTCGCGTGTCCGACGTTTTCCCCAACCAAACTCAGTTGCTTTCTGCTCCCCTGCTAAAAGTGACTAACTTTAGTGGTTTAATACGGAAAACCCATGAGTTGGCAAAAAGTTAAAGTCCTAACGGCCCTAGGCAAAATGCAACAAAGCAAAGGCACCACGGATTTTTCCCGCTCCCCCACCTCCTTACAGGCCGCTCGGTCCTGCAATGCCTGGAGAGGACAGATGGCACTTCGGAGGCCGAATGGGTTGTCTCAACAAACAAAATGGGCGGTGGTCCTTTTTCTTGACTTGGCCATCACGTAGTGATGACAGCCCATATCGCACACAGAACAAGCCACCCAGGTGGCCGGCACAATTGGCCAGGTGAACAATACTGTGGATGGACGAAATCCATTTCGCACCATCTAAGAAGCCCTTGAATGATACGATTTTTCTGTAAATACCAATAAACGTAATGGTTTCAACCATGGTTTCTTAGGTGGTGCGAAATGGATTTCGTCCACAGTAATGCAATGTCACCTCGGGTTGAGATCCCCCCCCTGAAGAGGATCCTCAATTCCACAATGGCCGGGTCTCCCGCTAGGGGCGGTAGACCACACACATGGAAACCCCTCCTTCGGTTCAAAAACGGCCTCGCCGGAAGTTGATGCGACTTGCTGGGAAACGGGTTGACCTTCCAGGCCGCAACGGAGCCTCTGCCCATGTCACATCCTTTCACAAGGCTCTCGCCTGGACCTCGAGTTTACAAGCCTCCCTCCATTTCCTTAAGTCCAAAAAAAAAAATAGTGATAGATTCCCTTTAAAACCAACTGGGGAAAAAAAATAAAAACAACATATTCTTGACCCTCCCTCCCCTAGACCTCGAGTCGAGTCCGTGCCAAATCTTCCATTTCCATTCTTTCTGGGGATCCGAATCTCTTCAGGAAAGCATCAAAAGCCCAAGGGAAACAGATCCGTTTTTTTTTTTTTTTTTAGAACGATGGTTCAAAAGAATGGGGAATCAACCCCTAGAAAATCCCGCGTCAGGTTACATAAGTCTAGGGGGCTCTTCCCTTTCCATTCTTTTCCGCCATGCTTCTGTTCGAAAACCGGCCGTTTCGCTGAGTTGCTGGTAATATGATGGGTGCTTGGGGTAGCCTTGGGGCACCCTCCCTCCCACGAACATGACAGTCCCTGCAAGAGGAAACTGATTCTGATCTTCCAGGTACCCTACCACAGCTGCCATGCGCTTTGGCAATTCTCATCAAAGACAATCCCTGCTTTTTGGGCAGGGCTTACTTGAATATGTCACAGCTCTCCCTAAACGTACTTCTTACTTATAGGATCTGCACGTGCTAGTGCAACGCCCCGGTGACTCTTCACGCGTGCCTTCATGCGCTGGTGCGAACCTTGAAAAGCTCGGCCGTGATCAATGTGACATTCGTCCGCTATGACCCGGCCCTTCACAGGTTCGCTTTCTGATTTGTCGCTCTCCTGGGCGTGACTGCTGAGAGTTGCTGCCAAATTAAGCCTGTCTGATGCTCATCCTGACCATCCGTCCGCGTTCTCCAATTGGTTTGTTTGCCATTCCGCAAGGTATGCGGCACGTTTTCACGCGTCTCACGTCCAGCGGTTGGCAAGAAGAGGGTTTGACACGTCAGCAAAGGAGGCAATGGTCAAGAGTACGCTCAGTCTCACTGACTCGCTCTAACTCACTCAATCTCACTGAGTCTCACTCTCACTCTCACTCTCTCTCTCTCTCTCTCTCACTCACTCACTCACTCACTCACTCACTCACTCACTCACCCTCACTCACCCTCACTCACCCTCACTCACCCTCACTCACCCTCACTCACCCTCACTCACCCTCACTCACCCTCACTCACCCTCACTCACCCTCACTCACCCTCACTCACCCTCACTCTCACTCACTCACTCTCTCTCTCTCTCTCTCCCCCTTTCTTACTCACTCACCTTCTTGCTCGGGTCTTCGGCCAGGTAAGTAATTAAGTTGCTGGGAACCTAGTTTACAACCCACTTGCAAGTCCCCTAAGTGGGGTTAACCTGGTGGGTGAAAACCCCCAAGTGGCGATCCTTTCTAACTTGGCAAATCGAGCACCCAAGCACTATGCCGACCCAAAAAGGGTCCCCTCAAGAAAAGGACCCCCTTAACCCCAAAGGCCCCAAACTCTTTTTCACCTGACGAAAGAGTTTGCTCGATTCATGTCCACGAACCACTGGAGTCTGGAGTTTGATGGCGTCAACCCGAAAAACTCATGGCCATACTGTGGGTGGACGAAATCCGCTTCGCACTAGTTGGGATTGGCGCTTTTTCCCAATATGCAGGATTTTCTACACCCACAGTATGGGTGTCTCGTTTTCAGCCTACCCCCAAAACCCTTTCGGCTTTCCTTTACCACAAAACCAGGGGTGCCAACTCTGCAACAAAACCAATGACACCCCCAAATTCTCTGCTCGCCCCAAAGAAAAAAACTCGAGCCATGCGGGCAACTGCAAAAAATATAACACCCCCTCCCCCGAAAATAAAAATAATATATATATATATATGTAATATATATATATAGGCACTGCATTCTTCTTTCGCGCTTCGGCCCCAGCGACCCACCGACGCCTCGGCCCCTCGACTCTTCCGCTCTCCGCCGCGCCTGGCGCATGTCCGCGACCTTCGCCTTGAGCTTCGGCAGCTCGTCGGCGCCGAGGCGCTGCATGCCCGTGGTGAACCTCGCTCGCGCCGCGCGCGGCGCGCGAGCGCGCGAGCCCCGCGAGTGGAGCGGAGGGCCGAGGGTCAAGTAGGACATCCGCGAGAAGGGGAACCAAACCCGTGGAAAAAGGAACCAATGGTAAGTAGGGTAATGGTGCGTCGGGCAAACTTTACAGTATGGCTGCGGATCAAATAAATGTGGCAAAATGGCACCTTGGTAATTGGAACCAACAACTAAAAACCAGCGGCTTGCCCTAGCTCTTGAATTTTGAGCCACAACCATATGTTCAAAGCCTGGACTAAGAATTGGATTTCAAATAAAGGACCTTTATCATAGCTTGATCTCGTTCTACCCCCGAATCGTGAGCTCGCTATAATACAGGCAAATAAAATCCTCGATTTAAAAGGGAACCAAAGCGACACCCTGTGGGAAAAGGAACTTGGATGTTCATTGCCAACGTCAGGTAAGTAGGTTATAAGTTACAACCATTAAGTAGGATCGCCCCCTTGTAATCATGGCTAGAACCTACTTACTACGTAGCTCGGCGCGTGTGGGACAGGGAATGTTTGACTCTTCCAAAACAAATAATGAATTCCTTGGCCGCTCGGCCAAGTTGGCATGCTGCTAGTGACCTAGGTCCATAGCCCACTTCTGCCCCCCTACGAGGAGTAATCACTAGACGGTTGAAACCTAGGTGTCTAACCACCCGCCAATGCTTACTAACTCGGCCGAATATTGAAGCAGAGAAGTGGCCTTTTGGCAAACCTCCCTTGCTGGTCCGAAATGGGCAGAAGAAACGGCTTTCCTGTGGCTGTCCTTCTTGTTTGCATGAGTCCTTCGCCAAGGATCGGCGGGTGTCCAACAGTTTGTGCAATTCACAAGGACACGTACCAACACTGTTCCATTTGTCTGGTCCGAATCGAAGGGAATCCCCCCTAAAACTCAATTGTTCAAAGCGAATCGACCTTTTGACCTCTTGGTTTTCCCTTGGTCCACTTTTGGCAACGCTCCCAAAAGGTGATCACCTTTTATTTCCAGGTCCGAGCCGGCTGAGAAAATGGTGCTTGTCCTGGGTCGAAAGCACAATCAAAACCGATTCGGGTAAATGATGGCTAGTAAGGGCCAAACAAACATGAAGGTTCCCTCACATCGCCGGGCAAAGGGTGAAAGTATGGAAGAGGATGGAAGAAGGGAGCATACCCCAGCTTCCGCGAACATATCCACTCTGTGTGGAAGTACTGTGCTAAGCGGGGCATAACGACATGTGGTTCAATCAGTTGGCACATAGGTCCTGATTTCTCTAGTCGGCGATTCACCTGGATCTGGCGAAGCTGAAGGTTGATAAAGCCAGGATTAGCAAACAGGAATGGATGGTGATTTCACCACACACCATCTAAAATGGGTGGGTGTGTATGTATATATATATATATATGGGTGTGTCTTCTTAGGGGAATCCCAAAAAATATGGTTTTCTTTTGATTTCCTTGTTGATTTCCTTTAAAACCACAAACCAGGGGTACCGACTCAAAAAAAGACGACACACCCATACAACCCAGAGGAAAGCGGGTGGTGCATTGGCAACCAGCACGAGAAAAGTCACCAGGCTATTGTGTGCAGCCGAATGGGTCAGAAATTTCTATGAAGTGACTTGTTCTTGTGTAGTCTAATGTTGACCCAGGATAAATAAACAGGTCCTACTCTTAGGGGGGGTGTTCCCTCCCAGAGTGATGAATCCCCACTAAAAGGGGACAACCCCCTGTTAATCAACCAGGGGTTCATTAATCCGGGGTTAACATGATGCATCTCTACTCTTGGTATGGGCTTGCGAAAAACTGACTGTTTTTGGCAGACCCCAAGTAGAAACTAAAAAACCAAAAAGAAAACATGCCAAGAACAGCGAAGTATGTGTTTCTACAGGTGACGTCTCCCTTCCGGGAGAAAAAGAAAGACTGAGATTGTGCCCCAGGCCTCTGTATGGGGAGCCTTTCACTCGAGTCTTAGTTTGGGGAGGGCTTGGGAGGCCCCAAAGCCACGAACCCCCCGCAAGAATTCAACGGCCTGGGGAGAAGTCAGGTTGGGTCACTCGGATTTAGGGTTCGGGCTCATATGGGTACGTGTCAAACTAGGGGCATTCCCCCAAAATGGTTTTATTTTCCTTTTGGTTTCCCTTTAAACCAACTTCAAAAAAGCGTATACTCATAAAAGCACACACCCAGAAGTAGATTTCTACATTCAGTATCAGTATAATATACGTATATATATATATATGTATGTATATACATATATATATATATGAGTTGGTGAACTATGTGAGGGTCAGGATGCAGTGCCGCCCAAAAACACAAGCACTGGAGTGCCGCTTTTTGGGTAGCCGCTCTGAGCACAGAGTCCACCGATCGGGCCCCCGCCAAACATTTGGCTCCAGGTCCTTTGGGTAAAGTGGTACCTCCTGGGATCACATTGTGGGGACGCTGAACATGGACCAAACGGGAAAACCAAAAGGTGAGAGCACTTGGCTGGAATTAGTTGACCCCAGCAAATATATATATATATATATATATCTTTTGCCTGGTTAGTGGAAAGCAAAGGGAACCACAAAAAAGCAAAAAAGCAAAAAGGGGAGCTTATTCTGATGAAGTTTTGGGTTGGAAGAGATGGGCTTCCCTGGTTGATTTTCAACCACCAGGTCAACCAGGAATCGCCATCGATTTGTCCACCAAAACAAGTAAAAAGGACACCTATGATCCTTAACTAGAGTCCTATTGAGGGAACCCATGACCATAACCGAGTTCATGCTCTTGTGCAACAAAGCCAACCTTCTGACCCAAAGCCAACTCCTATGGTCAGAGGGTTGGCTTTGGGCAAGTGAGTTTGTCGCTTCTCATCTCGCCATGCGTCACACCGGTGCTGGGGCCCCTGCTCCTCTCTGGTGAAGATCCCCATCCTCAGCGCGGAAAACACCGCAATTGGGCGTGTCTTAAAATAGGGGTACCAAAACAATGTTTAGTTTCCCTTCGGCTTCCCTTTGAAAGGTAACAACTCCAAAAAAGAAAGACCCAATCGAACAAATGTCTAGTTTCCTTTTGGCTTCCCTTTAACACCACCAAAAGGGTACCAACTCCAAAACAGAAAGACCTAATTGAAACCAAGACTCTGACTGAACTGGTTGCTTTAAAATTGAAAGCCCCATCATCATGGCTCACCAAGGGAACCTTCATGGCAGTTGGCAGGTACCAAAAGAAACACGGAGCCAAAGAAGCAACGGCGCACAGGTCCGTGGCCGGCTGGTCAAAGGGTTTGCAAGCTACTTAGTTTGTCACCATACGGGCACGATCACACCAGGTACTAACCAATTACAAGAATTATAACCTAAGTTGGTTGAACACCCCTACGGAAACCTAGGGAAGCAACAAGGAATATAACCTAAGTTGGTTGAACACCCATAAGGATTTCTAGCAAAGCAGCGAGGAGCCCGGTTTTTCCCGGGCTCTCAATCCCCCGGTTATGCACACGAGCGGCTGGTGCGCCCGGCAGTGCCAGGCCAGCACCAGCGTCACAGGGTCCAGGGCGCTGATGCTCAAGTCTTTGCACAGCTCCTGGCGTGCGGCGGGCGCGGTGCGTATAGTCCACGTGACGCGTGGGCCGAAGGGCATGGTGAGTCCTTCTTTGGGGGTTGGGTGGGCTTTGAAGGGATAAAACTATTCAAACAAAGAAATCACATACTTTTTTCCGGGGGGGGTCCCTGAAAACATGTTTGCCCGGAGTCTCCTTCTGACCCTTGAAGTATGGGCGCATTGCGATCAGTAGCAAAAATTAAGGGGCATCATGCCCAGGGAAGCAAAAAGGAAACCAGCATGTATTTTGTTATTTATTGTTATGTATTTGTATTCTCTCTCTTTTTTTTGGGGGGGAGGGCCTACTTTTCTTGTTTGTTTTTTTTTTGGGGGGGGGGGGGTGGCATTTCCAAAACTGGGATTGTAACCCTGAAGCTCAGTTGCCACAAAGGGGAGATCACCTTTCGGGGCCACAAAAAATGGAAACCCGGAAAAAAAGGAACTCAAGCTGAACTAAAGGGCCAAAAGGTTGACTAGCCTTTGGGCCTTGGTGAGCCTAACGTGGCGGGCGGATTCCTCATGTGTGACATGGCGGTTACGAGCCGCAGATATGCGTTTCAGATGTAAAACATGTATCCCTGCAGCCGAGCTCTTCCAGCTACCACTGCAAATTTGCAGTGCCGACATCCGGAGGAAGGTTCGGAATCCGAAACTCCGATACGCCCTCGGTCGCATTCCTCACAAGCTGCGGCTCCTCAATGCCCTCCGGTCTGATAGTCTGATCCTGCGCAGAATGTTTAAGCAAACTTCCGCATTTCTATTCCAGGTTGGAACTGTTTGGAGCCCCTGTAGAGCCCAGTGCTTCCAGTTCCCACTAGAGTAGGTAATTGTTTGGTGGGGCTACCTCTAGGTTTTACATCATGGGGAAACCCCTGGTTTCCCAATATAGTTGGCTGGCCTGGAAGGGACTGGGGAGAATAAGCGGCGCTTCAAAAGGTTCTGAAAAGGGGGAAGTGCCCTTTGGTTTCTTTGGCTACAAGCCTCTTGTAAGAAAATCCCAAGCCCGCCCCCTGCTATTCGACTGTTGGAGAGCCACAGCCTAGTACTTCCCCTGCTTCGTTTTAAAGCGGTTGTCCAAAAATGTCCCAAACATCTTATCCCTAGGGCTCCTTGCTCCCATGAACGAATGGCCTTGGGACCCAATTTGGAGGATGAGTTCCTCCTGAACGGTAAACAATGGTTGTTATTTTAGCCCAATCTTGTTTTACTGGTGGTAACTCAACCCCAGGGCTAATTAATTTTGAAACAAGGATCCTTTTTGGCTTCCTTCCGTTCCTCCAGTTCTCCCTGTTTGACACCTGGGAGAGCAAAAGGAAACCCATCATGTGGAGAAAAGACATTGTGTTCTTGTTGTAGTTGGTACCCGCAAGCTTGATTCTTCTTGGGAAACCAAACCCAAAGATTCCCTTGTTACCTCATACTCCCGGATTTGGGGACCTGCCATTGGCAAATTCCTTTGAACCAAACCCAAAACCCGACATATTGCCTGGCTGTCCTCAGATCCCCGGCCAAGAAAAGTAACTCTTAGTGGGCTAAACTCGGAAACTCCACCGCTAAACCAACTCGAAACCACAAAAAGCAACTTTCTTGAAGCGGACGACTCGCTGGGAACCGAGGTTGAGTTGTTCTTGGACCCTCAGGAAAAAGGAACTGAAGCCCAGCAGTTGTTGTCCCCTTTGGCGAGCCAAGAGGTGAGCTTTGGCGATCTGTGGCCCATGAGAAAAAGGCCCCTTGGCTTCAGGGAACATGCAAAGGAACGCAGACTCACTTGCCCTGGACCTGGAAATAGGTGACCACCTCAAAGGGGCCTTGACCAAAGGGCAGACCAACACTGGAAGAACAAAAGGTAAAAAGGTCTGCTTTGGACAAGGAAGTGTAGAAGGTGACCACCTTTCGGGAACCACATTGGAAGAACAAAAGGTAAACCGATCGGCTGTGGACAAGGGAGTATAGAAGGTGACCACCTTTCGGGACCAACATTGAAAGAACAAAAGGTAAAAAGGTCGGCTTTGGACAAGGGAGTATACAAGGTGACCACCTTTCGGGACCAACATTGGAAGAACAAAAGGTGAAAAGGTCGGCTTTGGACGACCACCTTTCGGGACCAACACTGGAAGAACAAAAGGCGAAAAGGTCGGCTTTGGACAAGGGAGTATAGAAGGTGACCACCTTTCGGGACCAACATTGAAAGAGCAAAACGTGAAAAGGTCGGCTTGGGACAGGGGAGTATAGAAGGTGACCACCTTTCGGGACCAACATTGGAAGAACAAAAGGTCGGCTTTGGACAAAGGAGTATAGAAGGTGACCACCTTTCGGGACCAACATTGGAAGAACAAAAGATGAAAAGGTCGGCTTTGGACAAGGGAGTATAGAAGGTGACCACCTTTCGGGACCAACATTGGAAGAACCAAAGGTAAAAAGGTCGGCTTTGGACAAGGGAGTATGGAAGGTGACCACCTTTCGGAACCAACACTGGAAGAACAAACGGTCCAAGGTCGGCTTTGGACAAGGGAGTATAGAAGGTGACCACCTTTCGGGACCAACATTGGAAGAACAAAAGGTGAAAAGGTCGGCTTTGGACGAGGGAGTATAGAAGGTGACCACCTTTCGGGACCAACATTGGAAGAACAAAAGGTGAAAAGGTCGGCTTTGGACAAGGGAGTATAGAAGGTGACCACCTTTCGGGACCAACATTGGAAGAACAAAAGGTGAAAAGGTCGGCTTTGGACGAGGGAGTATAGAAGGTGACCACCTTTCGGGACCAACATTGGAAGAACAAAAGGTGAAAAGGTCGGCTTTGGACGAGGAAGTATAGAAGGTGACCACCTTTCGGGACCAACATTGGAAGAACAAAAGGTGAAAAGGTCGGCTTTGGACGAGGAAGTATAGAAGGTGACCACCTTTCGGGACCAACATTGGAAGAACAAAAGGTGAAAAGGTCGGCTTTGGACAAGGGAGTATAGAAGGTGACCACCTTTCGGGACCAACATTGGAAGAACAAAAGGTGAAAAGGTCGACAAAGAAGGTGAACCTTTCGGGACCAACGGGCTTTGGACAAGGAGTGTAGAAGGTGACTACCTTTCGGGACCAACATTGGAAGAACAAAAGGTGAAAAGGTCGGCTTTGGACAAGGGAGTATACAAGGTGACCACCTTTCGGGACCAACATTGGAAGAACAAAAGGTGAAAAGGTCGGCTTTGGACAAGGGAGTATAGAAGGTGACCAGCTTTTGGGACCAACATTGGAAGAACAAAAGGTGAAAAGGTCGGCTTTGGACAAGGGAGTATAGAAGGTGACCACCTTTCGGGACCAACATTGGAAGAACAAAAGGTGAAAAGGTCGGCTTTGGACGAGGGAGTATAGAAGGTGACCACCTTTCGGGACCAACATTGGAAGAACAAAAGGTGAAAAGGTCGGCTTTGGACGAGGAAGTATAGAAGGTGACCACCTTTCGGGACCAACATTGGAAGAACAAAAGGTGAAAAGGTCGGCTTTGGACAAGGGAGTGTAGAAGGTGACCACCGTTCGGGACCAACATTGGAAGAACAAAAGGTGAAACGATCGGCTTTGGACAAAGGAGTGTAGAAGGTGACTACCTTTCGGGACCAACATTGGAAGAACAAAAGGTGAAAAGGTCGGCTTTGGACAAGGGAGTGTAGAAGGTGACCACCTTTCGGGACCAACATTGCAAGAACAAAAGGTGAAAAGGTCGGCTTTGGACAAGGGAGTATGGAAGGTGACCACCTTTCGGGACCAACATTGGAAGAACAAAAGGTGGAAAGGTCGGCTTTGGACAAGGGAGTATAGAAGGTGACCACCTTTCGGGACCAACATTGGAAGAACAAAAGGTGAAAAGGTCGGCTTTGGACAAGGGAGTATGGAAGGTGACCACCTTTCGGGACCAACATTGGAAGAAGAAAAGGTGAAAAGGTCGGCTTTGGACAAGGGAGTATGGAAGGTGACCACCTTTCGGGACCAACATTGGAAGAACAAAAGGTAAAAAGGTCGGCTTTGGACAAGGGAGTATAGAAGGTGACCACCTTTCGGGACCAACATTGGAAGAACAAAAGGTGAAAAGGTCGGCTTTGGACAAGGGAGTATAGAAGGTGACCACCTTTCGGGACCAACATCGGAAGAACAAAAGGTGAAAAGGTCGGCTTTGGACAAGGGAGTACAACATCCAAGGGATCGACACCCCTCGAAAGGGGAAGCGCCCAGAGATCTGATGTGCAGAGCTAGTTTGTTCAAAGCCAACAGGTTCTGCGCCCTCGTCGAAGGGCGGAACCCAAAGCAATGGGAACCCGGGAGAAATAGGAACCCTGGAATAATTATCCGTGTCCCCTTTTAGTGGGGATGGATCACTAGAGGGTAACACCGACCGGGGTCCATGAATCACGTGGGGGGTCTCTTCATGAGGGAACACCCTGCCTCTGGTGAAAAAGCTAGCTGCAAAAACAAAAACGCGCACACACACAAAAACAACACACCGCCCTTCTTGCTTGCCAACGACATGGGCATATCCAGGGACTCCTTGAAGTGTTTTTTCGGGCAGTTTGGCCTGACAAAATCGACCAATCGGTTCCAAAGGAGGCGGACACCAGTTTAGCCGACACCGCCATTGAATCTCGAACATTCTAAGCGTAGCTTCCATGTCCATTCTTAACCCAAGGATCCGAATCTTTCTAGAAAACCACAAAAAACAAAAACTGGGAAAACAGCTGGTGTTTGAAAA